ATTCAGGGAGTGGAAGAGTTGCCATATAAGATAGATAAAATCATCTGCAGCAGTGACCAAAAAGCTAGAGTTAGTAGCAATATGTAGTAAATGGACAACCACCGTGTAAAAATTAGCAAACACCCGTGTAATACACGGGCATTGTACTAGTATATATTAAAAGCCAACCTATTTACCAAAACAGTAGCAAGAAAAGTCAGCACACATTTAATGCATACTTTATTTGGAAATTTTTACTATATGTGTGTATTTTGTAAACATTTATACTCAAAATTTTATTTTGAATTTCATTACATAAAGAAGACTACTTCTATAACTTATATAAATAATAATAATTACATTATATGACTGCAAATTTTATAATAAAATAATAATAGAGTATTATATGGTGAACAATAATTAATAAAATTTTTATTTTTTCTTATATCAATGAATAAATATATATTCTAAAATCAAATAAATATTAGTATGACGTGTTAGCGGAATTATATATTAATTAACATGTTAATTTTTTGGCTTAAATAAACGCCACTTATTAAAAGATGTGAAATATGACCTATTGTTTTTTTGTCTAGACGTACAACTCCTATAGAAATAATTGATTTATTATATGTATCACGTGCATCGCACGGGGTATGCACTAGTTGTCCTTGAATTGTTTGTTTATTTTAATATTTATTTATGGTATATGTAGATTAATATTAATTGTCTGATATGCATAATAATTAATTAATTGCTTACTTTTTATATAAACTAACTATGTTAATTAACTAGTTTTTTTATTTACGTGATAATTAATTATAAAATAAAAAATGTTGCACCCCAAATTTTCTGATCACAAAGTTCTAAAAAAGATTTGGCCCAAATATAAAATGAAGCCAAAAAAAAAAAAAAAATCTTGTTTTCATACACTCATTTAGTTCTAAAAACCATATACACATATACAAACAGTCTCCCAATATCAAGTATACTATAATACATTCGGCTATGCTCATACACTCATTTAGTAAAAATCTTGGAGAATAATCTCTTTGTCGATCCGATCAAATGTGATATTTGCTCTTGTTTTCATATATTTATCTTATTTCGATTTCCTCATATCCCGTATCACTAAAACACACCATAATTATAGTGTAATCATCGATTAATCTGCCTTATTCATATTTACTTTAACAGTTGCAATCCATATTCAACAACTACTTTGTTTACTAAAATATATTTTAGTAAGTATTTTACGAAAATATTTATCAAGGTTGAAGAGAAATTTCATTGTGTAATCGAACAATTTTATATGATAATTTTATTTTTAAAAAATAATGCTATATAAGAAATTTCATATAAAAATAAAGATATGAGTTTTTTTTTTTTTAAAATAAAAAATAAAAAACAAAAACAAAAAACAAAAAATAAAAATATTTACTAAAATAGACATCAAGCGGCTGCCACAGTCCTACATTTTCCCAACCGGAAATCAGAACCCTAAAGTCCTAAACCCCTTCATACCGCCACAGCCACCACCTTCTCCGGCCACAATGAACAGAGCATTCTGCCGTATGCTCCGCCGCCGCATTCCCCATGTATTCTCGAGTTACTCGTCCAGTCCATGCGTATCAGCTCACTGCCTGTCGAGTCCCCTCCCCACTTTCAGGACCACAAGGAGTTACAGCGCGAATTTCTCCGATCTAAGGGCCCGAGTCGCCGCCGCCGACCGGGCGCTACAGGAAATAACCTATCAAGCCCAGCGCGAGCGCCAGCGGGAGAGAGAGGAACGGATAAAAGCGGGCCTGGACGTGGCGGACCTCGATCGAGAGGAACAGGAGGATTACATGGGCGTTGGGCCCCTCATTGAGAAGCTAGAGAAGGAGAAGTTGAAGGGTGACCCGCCGGATTTGAACCGGTATGAGGAGCCCACAGATTCGGATTCCGATGACGACGAGAGGTTCTCTCGGGAGGCAGTCAACAAGCAGGTCGAACAGTTCGAGAAGAAATTCAAGAAGCACGAGGAGTTGCTCGATAAGTTCACCAAGACTGGTTCGTAATTTCGACTAAGAGCTGAACTTTTTGGGATCCTTTGTGTTCCATTACTGATGTTTTTTTGCATCTTGATTATAGCAAGGACAATATAATACCGATGTGAATTACTCAGACAAAGCTCCATTGTTTTATCCTTTGTCTTTTTTTCCTCCCTTAATAATCTTTGTATACAAGTGTTAGTTGGGCCTTTCGGTGGTAGTATGAATGATGCTGTGTCATGTGATTAACAACAAATAGTGACATAAAATAGTTAGATAGTGCCTCTCATCTTTTATGGTAATGTAGTAATCAGCTCATCAGTTTGTTTGTACTGATGTTTTTTTATGTATGATGGCCATGCCTTTATCCGTTTGTTGTATTTCTTTTTGTGCAATCATCTATTTGTTAACTTAATTAAATCAAGCAGAGACTTTGGATGACGCCTTCCAGTGTATGAAAAGAATAGACAAATTTGAAGAGAAGCACTTCAAGCTGAGACCTGAGTATCGTGTGATTGGTGAGCTCATGAATCGGCTGAAAGTAGCTGAGGGAAAGGACAAGTTTCTTCTTCAGGTGAAGATAAATCGAGCACTGAGGCTGGTGGAGTGGAAAGATGCATTTGATCCTAATGACCCAGCAAATTATGGTGTTATCCAGCATGATCAGGCTGGGTCCTCAGTTGATCACATGGAGCTTGACGAGATGGATAAGGAGCAGCAGACTACGAAAGGTGGAGAAGATGATGACGAGTTTGAGTTTGATGACTTGAAGGAGAAGGACAACATATTGTTGGAAAAGCTTAATGAACTTGATAAAATCCTTGAGCAGAAACTGGCGGAGTTGGATCACACTTTTGGAAAGAAGGCAAAAGTTTTGGAGGAGGAAATTAGAGATCTTGCCGAGGAAAGGAACTCATTGACTGAGCAGAAGAGAAAGCCCCTCTACAGGAAAGTGAGTACGGAATGCTCCTTTATGGCTTTATCTATATTGCCTAAGTTCAAATGCCTTTTCTACTTCATAATTCTCAGTATGCAACTAATGCTTTATCCAAAAAAAATTGATGCCGTGTTCGAGCACTGATTGATTTTTATGTATTACGCATATGGGAGACGCCGTATACTCTGTTTTGTTGTTTTCTTTGGCCAATCCAAGTCCCTGGTGATAAGATTTGCTGGATTTAGAGCCGTATTTTGTCTGTTGACCACAAAATTCACTTGTAGTTTCTACTGAGTTTCCCCTCATAGAAAGATTTGAGAAATATATTTATGCTCTGGTGAAACCACTAGCCACTATTCTCGGAAAGGATGGTTGAGTTTTTTATTTCTGTTTTCCTTTCACATGCCTTCACTTGAATAGAGCAGCAGTTTATTGCTTGTGGAAGAAATATGTATGTGCTGTCAAATGTTTACTCTATTATGATAAAGGTTGGACGATACTCTTAAAGTGGGATTGGGGAGCGTGAAAAGGTGATCAGTTTGAGAGAAATGGCGGTTTAGTTTGTCTATGATATATGTGGATATATGTGCGTGAATAATACATTTGTAATATAAATAGTAAAACACATGAAGTACAATTATATATATGTAATCACTGTCAATCTGCATTAGAAGACATAAGAGTGTTGTCAGTGGCAGATGGAGGAAAATAGCGGCAGCCATGGCGTCACCATCACCGCTATCCTTAACAATTTTCTTTATGGCGGTTAGCTCGATTGTGAAAATTTGACAACACTGGATATAAGTCAAATTCAGTTGGTTGGTGTCTCGATGCCCAAAAGTGGTAGTAATTTTTTTTTTTTAATAAATTTGGTCATTATTCCTTAACCACGCAGGCAAACACCGAGGCCATTTATTCTTTATCGACTATTTTTCTTTTTTTTT